TGTTCACAGCTCCTCCCAATTTGGTGTCATTAGCGAACTTAGCAGTCCTTCAAGTCCTATATCCAAGTCACCAATGAAGACGTTAAAGAGCTGCAGCCCCAGGATGGATCCCTGCAGGACCCCACTAGTGACCAGTTGCCAGCCCAATGTAACCCCATTGACTAGAACCCTTTGAGCCCAACCCATCAGCCAATTCCTCACCCATAGCAGTGTGTGTTCATTCAGCTGTGTGCTCGACATTTTATCCAGGAGGATACTTTGAAAGACGGTATCAAAGGCTTTACGGAAGTCCAAAAAGATCACACTGACTGGCTTCCCTTGGTCAACTAGGTAGGTAACCTTATCATAGAAGGAGATTAGGTTTGTTAAGCAGGACTTTCCTCTCATGAACCCATGTTGGCTGGAACCAATGACTGTGTTGTCTTCCAGGTGTTTTCTGATAACTCCCAGAATAATCTTCTCCATAATTTTTCCAGGTCCATCAGTCTATCTCCCTCTCACACTCCCCTGTAATCCTCAGCCTTTCGACCTCCTGTTTCAGCTCAGCCACCATGCTGAGCAGATCGTTTGCCTGCTCACAGCGAATACAGGTGCTGTCCCTGCAATCCTCCGTTCCAAGTGAGAGGCTCCAGCACTCCCTGCAGCCAGGGGCCTGGACACCTACATACAACAGCAGTTCCATGTTAGCAATAATATGCTTCTTAAGCACCATCAGATCTTTGATGCTCTATTTCTGACTTCTTTCTAGAAACAGCAGGACACTTAAATACAAGTGCTACTGAAAGCCTTCAAAAGACAGGCACAGCACTTTACCAGTAGTTTTCCACACATGCATGCATATCTTCTCTGAAGAAAAATTGGCACCGCACATACAAAGCCGTGCCTCCAGCTTACTGCTGTTCCAGTAGGCCTGTGGATTTGACTGTTGTCTGCTTCTGGTCCAAGCTAACTGCTCAATGTCTCTTGCTAAATTTGCCCTTAAAAGAGCTTCCATTTTCTTTAAAACTGTAGTCTCTTTTCTCATCAATAATTTAAAATCCCTTGTTGGGAAATCTGTTCTTTGGCCTATGTAAAGTGGACTCCTCACTGCAGTAAACAGTTCACTTGACATGCAGTTGACTTGAGTGTTACAGCCAAGATGAGAACTGTCTACAAGGCTAAATCTGGGACTGTATAGTGAAAATCTTGCAGTAACACATCTTCTCCCCTGCCTCAAGTATGTTGACACCACAGTTGCTTTATTAATTCACTGTTCAGAAGTAGTGTACACATTTCTCAAGATACAAACAGAACTTCTTTAAAGTGTTTTCATTCCTTAAGAAAAATCAGAAGTTTTTAATTTGAATATACAATTCAAAGGCAGGCTTTCAAGTGAATAATATTTGTCCTTGTGCTTCTGTGCTTTTCCATGAGGTATTTAAGGCATCGTAAGGTCAGGGAATGCTGTGGTAGTGGCACGAATTTGTATTTAGATAACTTCTTGTGTACATCTGCTGAATTGATACCTATTTAATACAAATGGATCATGAAAATTTGAAAAGAAAGAAGGGAAAAAAAAATACACAACCACCCCACTCCCTAAATCTGCAGGTGGTCTTATTAAAGATTATACTGTTTAGTCTTTCAATAGATTTTAGAATTGATAGAAATCTAATTTTGAGTTTTGCCCTATTTTTTTGTCCTATTTGAGTTTATCTGCCATAAAACTGCAAGAATTGCTTTCTTTTGCACTCTCTTCTATGGTATTAGAAGACTTGATGGTGGAATAGAAGCAATACTTGATAGCAGGCCTATGAAAATTCTGCCACAGGCCAAAATAGAAGTTGAGGCAACGGTCTTGTCTTAGCAGCTTGTGCAGTTTCACTTTTCCACCCAAAATAAGGGTTAGTCTCTTCAGTTCTGAAAATTTTTTAGTGCTTTGAAAGTACATTTAGTACAAAAGACTCCACTAAAACTTATGCAAAGTTTAGAAATACTCATTTTCTAAGCAAATTCTTACCATTCTGACCTCCAAACATCTCTTCATAATACACTGGGAGAGCAGTGATTAGAGTGTAATACATATTTACTTCATAAATTCCTTCATTTAATTATTTCAAAACCAGGCTGATTCAAAGGAGACAGCTAAAAAAAGTGAACACCCAGTTTGGACAAACTTAATCTAAAGAAACAACTAAACAGCACTTTTGGGTTGATAAAGTTTTGTCACTCTTGTGACACAAAGTTCTCTTAATCAGCTTTGGAATGAAGTAATGGTTTATTCCACATTGGTATCTATCTTATCTCCTTACCTTGCAATGTCCAATCTTAAAAAGTTATCTTATAGTTGGGGGTGGGAGGGGGTAGGGTATAACAGGGGAGGGGCTGAACTGTAAATGGCTTTTGCACAAATTAATATACATCATTTGTAGGAAAACAGAATACTGATTCTGAATGTCCCAGGTCCATAATAATATCCAAACCTTTAGACCATCCTCTCCTTTATCTTCTCCAGCTCTTATATTAATTTGAAAAGTTTCTCTCTTTCAGCTGCCCGTGTTAAGGCCAACTCTTTTGTATATTTTTAACATGACATTGTCTGAAGGAATTTTTTCTTAGTCTGATGTTACAAACCATGATGAGGGACTTGTTGGGTTTCTTCCTTACTTTCTTGATAGGTCCAAAATCTCTTGGTTAGTGATTCTACTAAAAAAAAAAATACAGATGTTGCTGTAATTGAAATGGTAAGAGTGATCTCTCTTGGTTTTCCTTTTCACATGTGCAGTATTTTTTGAGTGCAGTGTCCTACTTCACACCTGTGGCTTTTCAGATAATTGATTTAAGTATATTGGCTAGCTTGTGCAGCACATATATCTGCAAATAATGTTCTCTAAAACTTAAATTTTGCTTTCCTCCTATAGGAAGCATGAGTGGGATAAACATGGCACTTGCGCAGCCACGCTTCAGGTCCTTAATTCTCAGAAGAAATACTTTGGCAAAGCCTTAGAACTCTACCAGCATGTTGATCTTAACAGGTATGTAAATCAACTCTGCGGTGTGCCTCTTGTTTCAAACAGTTACTAAAAGTTTCTAATCTAGTCTAAAAAAAAAAAGTCTAAAAATCTGGTGGCAGAGGGGAAATAGGTATTAGTATGAATTATTTTTAGTACTGGAGTTCAGAGGAAGGGTAGTCTACTCTGAGAAGCCTATCTCTGGTCACTTCAGAGCTTGGTAAGCCAGTAGTGTTCTTTGCAGCATCGTATTAGACAACGTGAGCCAGTAAAATGTGAGAAGCTGTATCAACTATATCTTGTTACCAAAAGCTATGGTACCTGTAAACTTCTAAATCAAGTGACAAAAACCCCCAAACTTCTGAGTCATCCTGAAGCCCAAACACTTGTTTTTAGAAAAGACAGAGGTCTGCTCAGAGGACAGGACAAAGTGCAGGCAAAGTCATGCAGCACATCCTGGGAAAAGGCTGAGAGGTAACAGCAAGAGAGGATGTCCTGAAGGGTGGTGTTCAGTTGCTGCAGGCAGCCCTCTGTTGTCCTTTCAAACAATCCTCATGTGACACTTTTGCTGTGTCCTAGGAGCTGATTCCTCCTCATGGTTCCAAAGCACTGTCCATTCCAGATACAAAATCTTGATGGGAATGTTGTGTCTTGTCCAAGCACTGTATGTACACATTCTGGCCGCAGGTGAATGCCAGGCGGCCAGAGTCCTTTCCCAATCAGTGCTTGGTACAGGTGGGAGAATGTTTGACTCAGATTTGTTGACCATAAATTGTCTCTGATGAGAGTATCTGAGAGAGGAAATAAGTTCTTTTGTATCTAGAAAAATATCTCAAAAAAAAAAAAAAAATTCTATTAGTGTTCTGTTAATGTCTTGTCCAAACAATCTTCTTGCAAATTTTTATTGACTTTGCGTATGCACAAAAGAAATGTTTCTCCCACCCCCCTCCTATTTTTGTAGGTGTCTTGTAAAACATACTTAGACTTTTCTAGACACAGTGCTTAAGAGCATGTCATATATAGTGTTAAAATCAGTGTCTGTTAAGTCAATTGTCTAAGTAGCTGCGATGATATGACTAAAACATTTTACAGATGGCACAGTGGCCAATTATGTGACTCTATATAAGCATATGTAACACTGAAAAATAGTAGAGACTGAAAAGTAGAAATTAATTGCTCAGAGTATATTCTCCATCATAGAAATGATCATAATTAAATTAATCTTTACTGAAAAGAATAAAGACTGATAATGTTCTCATTGTACTTCATTTATATTTGAATGAGAAATAGTAGTATCAGTGATTAAAAGATTGTTTCCAAAAAGGAAATTATTAAAAAGAGGACTTCATACAGGCTGCTGTAAGAATGACAGAACGTAATCTGTTTTATTGGTCTCCTTATATCCAGTGTCAAATGACTATGACAAACAGCTAGACCTTTAGTCAACTGTGTTAAATCTCCCATGTGCAGAATCTGACCTTTGAAGAGTTGAGCATTATCAGCACTTGTGGATTAAATCCTGAGAGACTCTGAACATTCCCACTCCTTACAGAAGAAGCTGGGACTTAGAGACTTGATACCTATTGGGTCCTGAGTCTTGTTGTCAACTTGGAAGTGTGGACTTCCCTCAGGACTGAATCTAAAAGAAGGGTTATATGGGCTAGAGGTTCTTGAGAGTTCCCTTGTTTCTCTTACGTGAACAACCTTGCCTCTTTGAAAACATATTCAATATGAAATGTTTCTGTGCAGACATTGATGTTGATCCAGATCCATGCACCATGTCCCTCTCCCAATGTGCTGTGTGCCTCCCACCCCAGCAAGCCCACCTTGCATTAGAGCAAGAGAGTGCCAAGAGCGGCCTCACAAGTCTGCCTTCATCCCCTCCCAGTGGCCAGAACACAGGGGTATGGCTCAAGGAAGGAGAAAGGAGGCAATTCAACTACATGCTTTACTTGGTGCTCAATGGAACATTCTGAAGGTCCAGCAAATAACAGTAATATTGCCTTTTCCCCTAGCTCTGTCTGAAGACTCGACTCTCCCAGGTCCTCAGATTATGGTGGGGGAGAGGGTTCTTCCTGACTCTGCTGAATTGGATGGGAAGTGACCTTTCAGAAAAGGGGAACCTTTCCTAGGCCTGGCAGAGAATGGAAGACAAGTTTCCCTTGCTCCCCATTGCTGTAATGCTTGCCAAGTTCTCACTAAGATTATCTCTTTACCTAATGGTTATGAAGTTATGTTTGCATACGGGAACCATGGAAAAGTTTTATCTTTGTTTCAGTTGTCTCCTGAAAGCCGGGATAAAGCCAAGCAGTTCATATTACCAGGTAAGAGGCACTCTTTTAAAAAACAAAATCATGTGCATGTGCTTTTTTTTTTTTAAAAACAGCAGGAGTCAAGTGATTTCTAGAGAATAAGTGATCTTTTTTAACTGTATAGTTCTTTAAGGTTGTGCTTTATCTAAAAGTTTTTGTCAACTTAACAAGTGTGGGAGCTGTTGGAAAATGTGCTAGTGACTTATTAATTTATATAAGCTTTTTAATTTTTCAGATGACTGCTATAAAGGAAACTCTTACAAGATTTTATGGTGTAACACCAAAGATCCAGTGTCTTCCTCCAGAAGAGGTAAAAACCCCAAACAAACACACATTCCCCAAACTTCCCAAAACTGAAAAACAAACAAACAAAAACCCAAACAAAAAAAACCTTTTTTTTTTAAAAAAGGGTACTTTTTATCAAAAAAACAAAAGCAAAAATCGAGTGAAAAATCTTCAGCATGGTGTAACTTAGGTCTGGATGTTCCTTGTCGATACAGTTCCCTGCAGATTAGATACTGCTTTGTTGTTGCAGCTGAGTTCACCAAAACACTGCTTACATAGCGGCACCGCTGAGTTCAGCTTATGTTACTGTTGCCACAGCCTTTTCTTCATGCAGAAATATTGTTGGTGGAGGAAGTGTCCATTCTCTGCCTAATAACTTTGCCGTTAGTATACTTAGCCAGAAAATGGGGGCACTGGGTTTTAAAGGTCTCTTTGTCTTTAAGGATTTGAACCTGCATCTCTTGCAGAAATGCTGCTGTAACCACCACACTAGAGGTATTGCTGTAGCTGAGTACTTTCCACTCCTCCTGCTAAAGCTTAATTGGCATGTAGAAGATTATTAGAACCAACAAGAGTGAGCTGAATGGAGCCAGTGACTGTTGGCCTTGACAAGGATACTGCCTGTCAACAGCAGTCTTCCTTTCACTGGGCATGGCTCATGTGCTCTGCGTGAAGAAGTTACTCAATGGACCAAGTCCTTCAGAAATAAAGCAGCTCTGAGGCTTGTCTCTGGGGTTATTTTCAAAGCCCCCTACCTAAAGAGGTACAAAAAGGCATTTTGAGCTTCACTGTGGTTCAGGATGACTATGGTCTTTCCTTTTGAGCCAACAGTGTTTAAAATTTCCATTTCTTTCTTTCCTTTCACAATTGTACTGTGAATCATGATACAGTAGAGAATGTGGTACACAGAGGCAGTGTCTTATAGCATATAATATAGGTCACCATATCTGAACCATAAATGCCTTTGAAGGAACAAAATAGTAATCTGAACAACTACTTGGGTAGGCTGCATAGCTGTTTCTTTAATTTTTCAGCTAGGTTTCTCTGCTTTTATTCAAAAAGAAAGCAAAAAACCAAACCCACAAGATAGCTTTCCCTCTTAGAAGCGGTTCCTAATTATCTCAGCTTGATAAAAGTGGTTTTCTACAAAACACTTGGCAGAGTTATTGCCCATATACAGATGACAATTTTATGAAAACTTGCCAAGACAGAGTTGCTGTTGGAGTTCAAGAGCTTGTGTGTTGTCAACTCATTTGCTTTAGTAGTGCTCTGAGATTTTTATACTCAGATGTTTCTTCACATGAAAAAGAACTCTAGGTTACAATTATATTTAAAATATGTTTTTACATTACTTTATGCAACAAAGGAATATGAGTTCAATGTGGATTGCTCACTCTCCCACCTCTTGATGTTGAAGAAATACAGAGCTAACACAAATCCCGGTTTCTAGTTCTGTTCACTGTAGTTCTGCCATTGCTTTTAGTACAATTGGGATACTGCTCAAATTATGTGAAAGTAATTTACAGCATGAGTCTCCTGTGTTTAACAGCTGAACCTATGGGTAATAGAAAGGAAAAAGTACACTCCAGTTATTTAAAGACAGCCCTTTGCAGAATTCCAGCTTTGTTGATGTCTGAAGTGCATTATGGGGGTACTTTGATGCTTAAAACATATTACACACTTGCTGTGTTCTTAGGTTTCTTTAAAAAAAACAAACAAAAACACCACAAAAAACTTCAAAACCAAAGAAAACCCAACAACAAAAAACCCAAAACCAAAACAATCCCACAACCAAAAAGACCCCCAGAACCAAACCAACAACAACAAAAACCCATCACAGTTACTTTTGTCTTGTACATATATTTTTGTCCTGCTTAGTAGTTTCAAAACCAATTTTTTTCCACATCTACTTTGTCACACCTGAGCATTTTGGGAGATTTTCATGTAATCTTCTTGCCCACATGAAAGACCCCCATGTCTGCCTGCCTTATTCATGACCAATAGTTTTCTTCCTGGTTTGTCCTGTAGTCCAAAAATGACATTTCTGCTACTTTTGACAGCTTGCTGCTATTTTCTTTTCATTAAAAGCTATTATAAAACCAAGTTTCTTTTCTTCTTTTTGGAGAATTTTCTTTGCCTAAATTCCCATCCTGCTACAAAAGACTTGGTGAAAGGTGGGTTTTATGTCACACATACCCTTCAGTATTCACAGAGTTCAGCCACAGCTCACCATTAAGGTGAACAGCTTCTGCATACTGTACAGATTCGGTAAATGCTAAAATAATCTGTGTCACAGCATTTCATAATAAGACTTACTAGTTAGGCAGATTCCCCAAATTGTTACTGAATTATGTTGTTGGATTGTTTCCTTGTCTGCTTGCTCATTAAAGACAGGTATGTACTGTAAGCTGTTCAGAGTGGATGCCACTGGTACTCGTCTCCTTCACATTTTTCAAGTGGCAAATATACAAATAAGCACTACTGTATTCTATAGATAAGGCAATATATCTGAAGAATTGATTCATTTTTTTTCTCGTCATCAAGCTGATCTCATCCCTTTTGTTTCTAGGGTGAAAAAGCACAAACAATTGGTCAGATTGAATTCTGTTTCACCAAAGAACTGCAGCTGAGAAACTGCACGGCGCTGAAGGGTGAATCCGACCAAATGCAGGCTGACTTGAAGCTTGGAACTGAGGAGTTGTCTGTCTGCAATGATACTCTTCCAACCTATTATCCTTCACAGGTCCAAGATCACAAATGAAGCCATAAGAATTTGAAAAACTTTTTAAACAGCAACAAAACCAAAACCCTTAAACATTACACCTTGGAAAGCAGTCTTGACTTAGCAATATTACAAAGCCCTGTCCGTATCACAGGCATGCTGTGAAGATTTCTGCTGGAAGACATGCTTCTTTTGCCACTAAAGGAAAATAGTCCACATTGTAATGTCAGTTACGTAGGTGGGAGTACTGAATTGTGGCTCTGATATTGATGGGATCAGAATCTGATTTACAGCTTTGCCTGGACTTTTTGACTTGCTTATAGTTTGAATCAATGTTCAAAAAAGAACTGTGACTTCTGAGTTTCACTTGCAGTTAAGTCTGCACCTTTTCCCATACAATAGTACCCACTGCTTTGCATAAGTTTGCTGTCTGGAAGTGCTGAACAGAGGCTACGTCCTCTGAGGCATTAAACTTTTCCTTACTCAGAGGTCCCAGCAGACCAAAGATGACAACTTTTGCATAACTTCTTAGTGAATGAAGTAACATTCACCAAGTTTTTGTCACTTCTGCCCAAAGGACCACAGGAAGACTGTATTTGTAGCCTTGCCTGTTCTTTGATTTTGCTACAGTACCTGAAGAACAATCAATGTTAGAACTTACTTGCTAACATAGGAGAATGTTAGGCCCTAAAAATGTGTTGTTGTTATTTTTGTTGTATTTGAACATGTAGCATTACCACACAAGTGTGTCTGCACTTTTATTTTAAAATGAGATTGTTACATAATAACTGTTTCAAGAAACAGCTTTTTATAGGTGAAACAGTAAATACTACAGGATTTTTAGTGAAAAGTACAAATGTTAGCAATAGTGCATCTCTGTCCCATAATAATAACATGCCACAAAGTTGGCTATTTCCAAAGGGGACCAAATCTGGATGATATCCTCTACACAGTGCTGTGTTGATATGTCTCAAGTTGTCTTTCAAAGAAAGACAATTATGGCTCAAGGAACCATCTCTTAGAAGAATATTACTGTGAAAACATCAAATGTGGTATTAGGAACAAATGTCTTTTGGGGTTTAGAAACCATTCACATTTACCCTTATTTTTTCCTGTCCCTGTTCTCTACCACCTTTCATTTAAGGCTCTGTTACCTTGTCATTCCAGAACGCTGTCACTTTTTTAGTCCTTTCTTTAGAAAGTCAGATAATTATTTATTTTAACAGCTAAGAAATTATTATAAGATCTGTATTCTGTTGTATCTGTATGTCAGTAGAGCGAGAGCCTCTCTCCTAAAATTTATCTTCCTTCCCAAGAGGGGGAATATACTAATACTATATTAGTATACTGATCTATTCATATTCCACTATATATTTCTAGTGTTTTTATAGTAGCCAGGGCATGTTCAGTTCATGTTGAACATGACCAGAAACACGACCAGAAGAATCGCAATTCTTCATTCCCCCTTTTCTGCTATCTTCTAAGCAAGAAAAGTAGGGAAACTGAACTAAAATGCTTGAAATACAAGAATGTACTTGTTTTTTGTGGAATCTTTTTGAGATCACTAATATTTTTTCCTTCTAATTACAAAAATTAGCTTAGCCTGAAGAACACAAATACTTGTTGGGAAAAATGCTTTTCTCTGCAAAGGAGCAGCCCAAGGCTTGTGTACTTTTTTAAACTCTCCAGCTCTTTCACATAGTATTTAGAAGGTGCATAGGTTTCCAGTGGACTACATACCATGTGGATTTTTTTGTCCTCAGGTGAAGTCCTTTGTTCTCCTTTTCCTTTCAAAGTTCTCAGAATGCAATGCCATATCCTTGCTTGTTAAGCTAATCACCAGTGAGGGAAGTGAAAACGGGTTGGTAACTACCATCACACCATCTCACGAACGTCTTACTCAGTGCTTTTCACTCACCAGTTCAGTTATGAACACAGTCCTTAATTAGAACAATAGACTTCTCAAAATCTCTCTGTAAATATTGGCACCTTGAATGAGCAGGTGCAGTATAAAAAATCCCATGAAATCTACAGCAACATGCTGTACTGCCAAACCGAGTGGTTGTTGGGTTTGCCTGTTTTTCTGCAGTTGTTTTAATTCCTTTTCCTCTTCACAGAATAAAAGTTCAAACTTGGAAGCAATGGTAGCATTGGTTCTTACACAGACATATGCTTAATGGAAGCTCAAATCAATAGCCTCGTTGTTTTTTGGTTTTTTTAATTGCAGTATAAGTTATATTTTCTTTAATAATGCTTAGGGAGACAAAATATACAGTATGATTTCTCTGTAGTTCAAGTATAATGCATTAATTTAAGTAAAGCCAATAACTGCAAATACGTACTTTACAAGGGAGTGACACAGATACTAACAGCCTCCATAGTGTGGGCTCAAAAGTAAAGCTGTCTCCTACCACACAGAGAGTCAGCGAATATGGACAGGAGTCCGAAACGACCAGCCTCTGCAGTAGAGCAGATAGCATGGCTTCCATGCATTTTTCAGCCTCATTTTCAAAGGCAAGAAATGTGAGGGAGCTGATAAGTTTTAAAACTTTGAGGAGAAACTAGCATAATCTGAAATGAGAGAGCGCGGAAGGCAGGGAGACAGGAAAGCCAGCAGCATGCTAAACAACAACCTGCCACTGAGTAAAAAATGACTGATGAATGTTAAGTCAAGGTTGGCTAAAAATAACCTCACAGACTGTGAAGTCCTGTTTAAAGGAACATAACCCGAGGTACTGCATTTGCCTTAACAAAACCACACTCACTTTCTTTTTATTCTGCCAACATTATTACACATTTAATATTTTAATTTGCTATGATTAGTTTATTAGTAGTAGCAATAAAACACTACATATGACTACTGTTGCTTGGTTTTTGACAATCACACCTGCCCAACTTCTAGGAAGATAAAAATGTATTTTAGAAGCTACTGACTGATTTTTATGCAGAGAAGTGCCAAGACACTCTAGAGTTTCAAGTGATACGTTTAAGGGATGCTTTAAGGGCTATGTCTGGTTGTGGGCAACCATGAGAGCAGAGGAATGAGTGGTAGCACTGGTTCCGATCAAAGATCATGTCCAGCCCTTTATGTTCTCTTTAGCAATGGCTCATAGCCAGTTACCAGCCTTGGCAATTGCTTTTCATCAGAACGTACATAATTTCAAGAGTTGGATTAAGACAATTTAAATACAAGAGGTAAATAAAGGTATATTGGGAGCCTTAAAAATATTTTCGGTTTTGAAAAGTGTCACTCACTTAAGCAAAATAAAATCTATCAACCTTGAAGATTCAACCCAGCCTGGGGAAGATGGAAGCTATATTCTTTTCTACATTGCTAAGTAAATTAAATAAATCACAGCAAGGGAGTTGTTTGTGCCATCTCGGTGCTTTAAAACACTAGTCTACTCCACAAAGGGACTTAGCTTGTTTATACCGTTTGTCCATGTGCTCTCTCATGCAAAATGTGTAAGCATCTCTTGGCGTGTAGGTTAGAGCATGGGTTGGCTGTGTCCTTTCCAAGGACAACCCCTCTTCCTAGACCATGGGCAGGTTATTTTCGCTCTCTTGTTCTCTCTGCCTGGCCTGCACTGAGCCTTTCTCCGCCGTACAGGAGCCCAACTTCAGCAAAGTTTATGGTGTGGGGGAAATACGAGATTGGGAAAAGCAGCTTCTACTCAGTTTCTTCAGGTAGCTACCCATGCACAGGTATATCGTGCTTATGGCAATGTCTGTTTGTCCCCAGTTGCCGTTGCTTGGCTGATAGGCAGAGCTACCTCTGCAGGCTGAAACGGAGGTGGCGCTCGTGTCCCTGCTCTGCACCCTCAGTGGTTGGTGAGCACTGGGCCGTGCAGCTGTCCCCAGCCCCTGTCCATCAGAAGGAAAAAAGTGGTGTCAGGAGTGTCCTGCAGTGCCCATGCAGGTTGTCAATACACCCACCGTAAGTCAAGTCCCACAAATGTCAACAGCCTAGGTATGAACACCAGCAAAGCAGCAGGTCCTGGCTTTTACAGTGGGGAGGGGGATTTTCACAGGGAGGAGTTCTTGAATTTGAGTGTCTCCATTCTGGTGTGGTTGCACTTCAGGCAGCTGTGCCCTGTTTGAATCTGGCTCTGAGCACCATGAAGCCAAGGCCGTAGAAGGTTAACTGTGCTGCTAACAGTATTGTTGCTGCCTGATGATGGTACTGATGATGCGAAAGGGAAAATGTCAGGACTTTGCAAGTCACTTTCCCAGGAATGGAGCAATCGATGATGAGGAATGTCGTATTTTTTCTAAATTCAGACTGTCTTGCTGCTCTGGCAGCTTCCTTCACAAGGCTCACTGCACACCTTCCCTTCCTGTGTGTAAGTATTCCCTGCTGCACAAAGTTGCCATAGATCACCCAGAGTTTAAATAAATAATTCATTTTAGAAGATATTTCAATTTCTTGTACTTCACAGAATAGGAACTTCAGTATTCAGGCTAAGTGAGGTTTGATGTGGAAGATGGGCAGGGAAAAATTTAATGAAATATAATAAGGGCAATTGTAGGGTGTTGCATCTGGGCAGGAACAACCCCAGGTTCCAGTGGAGGCTGGGGACAGACCTGTTGGAGAGCAGTGAAGGGGAAAGGGATCTGGGAGTCCTGGTGGACAGCAGGGTGACCATGAGCCAGCACTGTGCCCTTGTGGCCAGGAAGGCCAATGGCATCCTGGGGTGTATTAGAAGGGGTGTGGTTAGTAGGTCTAGAGAGGTTCTCCTCCCCCTCTACTCTGCCCTGGTGAGGCCGCATCTGGAATATTGTGTCCAGTTCTGGGCCCCACAGTTCAAGAAGGACAGGGAACTGCTTGAGAGAGTCCAGCACTGAGCCACCAAGATTATTAAGGGAGTGGAG